ACATGTTTGCCCCTGTCTGGCCACTCTTCTTTCTCCCCGCTCACCCCATCAACTGGCCCCTGCATGAGAAGGTAATAAAAATTTGGTTTTAAAACAGAGTGCTGCTCAATTCCCCAAAGTTATGGAGGGGTGGCCAGGAGTCTAAAAACATTGAGAACCACTGACCTAGCGCGACAAAAATCTTTCTGAACAGGTCGTATTTAAAAGTGGTATACAGGATGACAAGACTAGAATAGAAAGGACTGTCTCATATTGTTAGGGCAAGCTATAATACAAAGTTTTCATTTGCATGGTGCTCCATTTAGTTGTTATCTGAACATACTGAGTGAAAAAAAGGGAAAACATAAGTGTATCTTACAACATGCATTTTCAGGATCAGAGTTCATAGCTAGGTGTACACCAAAAAGATATACCAATGAAACATCAGTCTTGAAAGAAAAATATTCAGCTTAAGCATTCTTCCTGTTAAAACACCTTGCTGTGTAAACAATACAGTTTACAAAGCAATGTAAATAAAGGGTGATACCATCCTGAGTAGTATATAACTCATACAGACTGCAATACTAAGTCTATACAATACAACAACAGTACCTCCAGAAAGATCCATAAGAAAAACCACATTAAGGTAGGACTGAGTATGAAATTCAGCTAGCTACGATGTGGACACTATCAATCAAAACATTCATATTGCCAATGTTACCCAACAATTCAGAGAGATGATAAATGTAGCCATTCTGGAAGAAAATAAACTAAAGCATTTCAATTTTTTTTTAATATGGCCTAGCATAACACACGATATATCACACATTTCAGACTTCTAAATAATTTGTGGAATTTCTTAAAATAAAGAATCCACTCCTCTCATGAATATGGCTATAACACTTACCAGTGCTAGGGGAAATAACTCTGTGCGCTGAAGGAAATCACACATCCCTAAATAATATCTTTAAAAAAAATATTACTTTAAAATCTAAACATAATTTGTGGAGTTTAGATGGCACTCAGAAAGCAATCAATTAATGATACTAATGTTAAAAAATAAGAAAATGTATTTTTATAAATCACAAAAACCTCAGATTCCCTTTCAAAATTAAGGTACCAATCCTGAAAACAATACATAACCTACAAGGCAAGCAGATTTCCGAAACTGAGGAGCCTGCCCTGATGGCCACAGCACTGAACTTCACCTTGGCAAACTTAGGTCCAATTAGTAATTCAGCCACAGATTTTTATGAAAGGGGCAAGTAAATTTACCTTGTACTTTAGTTCACCTTTTATAAAAACGGCTAAAACATATTCATTTCACAAAAGGTGTTAAAAGGACCATATTAATTAATTATTGGAATGGATTAAAATACATTAATGAATGGGTCTGTATCACTATCTAGCTAGAACATTTATTCAAAACAAGAATTGGTGACAATTTGGTTCATTGTTGAGAGACTGTTGTAAAACGGGTTAAGTTTCCCAATGAACAAGAAAATATTTTCAACTTAACATTTAACTTGATTTTTTAGGGCAGAACTTTCAAGTAGTACATACACTCATGTGGTCTGCAAAAGTTTATTTTACCATAAATGTCTTTTCTTCTTTTCTATTCCTGTAAAAAACCTCTACAAAAATCAGGACAAATTGGTTGCCTAAAACAAACAGAACTAACAAAAGCAATGAAAAAGAACACTTCCCTCCCCACCCCACCAAAATCAAAAAACACAAACCCGTAAAAGAAATCCCAGAATTTTCCATGCTAGTCATCTACGGGGCAGCTTACAGAAAGTAAAAATGTTCAGAATTAAGTAATTCTTAAAATAATGATGCTTAAGTCCATAAATAAATTGTTTAAATATGAATACCCCTATAGATCCAGTATCAGTAACGACTGAGTAGACACAAGTGCGTTATTTGAAAGGGTCAAACACCTATGCTAAATATTGCTTAATAATTGTTTTCCAACTATTTAAGTTGGTCTAATAAAAGATATCAGATTCACGCAAAGAACCTTGTCTGCCTATGTCTTTAGACCAACACAGCTACAACCTACCCCCCGTACGCTAAATATAAAACTTAAAAAAAAAAAAAAAATTAAACATAGCCAACTACTAACCGTTTCTTAGAACTGGGTTATAAACAGACCTAGTTATAAACAGTTCCAAAAATGTTTACATGTTGTGCTACTTAATTAACTATTCATTATTCTGACTGATACACATTACAAGCCTTAACACAATAAAACTTTAAAAAGACTCCACAATTTCACACACATTTTGCCTTTTAGAGTTATTCTATGTATAATTAATAATGAGAATAAAAGATTTCTGTTTGACTTTTTTATATCTAAAAACTATTTATAGTTGTGTTGATTTTTTTAAGATTACAAAACAGTGATCATAAATAAAGTCTTGATTGCAAATATTCACTATGATTCTTAGAAGGCTTCTTAAAACAACCTGAAAACATTCACACATAATACACATATTCCAATAAATTCATGCTACTTTGCTCTATTTGCCACACTGTAAATGTAACATGCCTGCAGTCTGCTTACCACTGATTATACAGCAGACTACATTACAAGTTTGATAGCTATGTTCAGTATCAAAGAATGATGATATTATTTCAGTTCTTTTTCATTATCATTCTATGCCAGCTTCCAAATTCACTAACGGTTTAGGAATTTATGCCAACCTCAAAGATGATGTCATCAGTTTCAAAAGAGTTCAAAACTATCATGTAAATCTGCAGTATATGACTGATAACTACAAACGCTTTTTAAATTACATATGCCAAGTAGCTTCTAGCTTCAAAGTATAGACTGAAAGGATTTTTAATATCATAAGCGAGTTGCATCTAAATTTCACTAGGAAGTTATGAGTGTTATTTAAGTAAGCTAAATTATTCTGTTGAGCTTTTAAAATATCCGACTTTCATGGAAAAATGCATATAAAGCATTACTTAAAAATATTTCATATATATAAAAGTTTGCACAGTTCAGCTAGCAAACTGCAAGCTTTTGGACATTGCTATGAAATACAGCTGGAACTTTATCTGGAAGGACAAAATGCTCCAGTGAGCTAACAAGGTAGTTCAATTTCAAGCTGTTCTCAGAAAATCCAGAATGATGAAAATGTTTCCCTTAGTCTTCAAGCGCACTTACCAATCAGCCTTTGCTTTGCGGGTTCCTGTTACCTAAACAGAGATCTCTGCACGTTTTCAAAGGCAGCTATGCCTTGTCCCCTTGATACAGAGATGCTCTCTCATAATAAATCCCGTCAGCCACACAAAAAAAAATATACAATTTTGAGCTGTGAACGGATAAGTCTGATCCTGAAGTCAGATGAGGTCCTGCAGCCTTCCTTTGCTGTCCTCACAGCTATGCTCATGCCTTGGGCCCTTCTGTTCTGCAGGTGATTTAAGCAGGACTTGAAAAATATGTTAACCTCTTGCTGTCTACCTCATGGAATTACTTAGAAGCATGTGTATGTAAAATGCCATATGAATTTAAGGCAGACAAGGTTCTTTGGGTAAAATCTGATATATTTTATTAGACCGACTGAAATAGTCAGAAAAATTCTTCTTAGCAAGCTTTCACACACAAACACCCTTTGTCAGGCTAAGGAAGTATCTGCAGATGATCTGTGTTCTTCCTGGGTGGAGTGGTAAAGCATCCAGAGGCCAGTACGTATTCAAGAAAGCCAGTCAGTAAAAATGGAAATTGAGGTGGTCAGTAGGTGAGAGACAGATGGGAAGGACACACTACCTGTGGAAGTACACTTCTCACAAGACAACCACTCTCTCTCCAACCTCTCAGTTCTAATCCCCAAAGGGAATTTACAAAGTACCTTTCATAGACGAGCCTATGAACTTCACTTCATCAGTCTACTGGATACAAAAAATCATGGACTAAATATAGACACTGGATTTATGACACATTATAAGCTGCCTAACATCCGACTCCCCAGCTAAACCCTCCACTTTTTACCAGCTATTCTCATTCCCTCCCCCCTCTCCTGTCTCATCCTTTGACTACAGCTACATTCATTCCCCCTCCACCCCACCTGTCTCTCACCTACCCATCACCTCAATTTACATTTTCACTGACTGCCTTTCTTGCATAGGCAATGGCAGTTTTACCACTCCACCCAAGAAAAGAGAGTACAGACCATCTGCAGGTGCTTCCTCAGCCTGACGAAGGGTGTTTGTGCCTGAAAGCTTGCTAAGAAGAATTGTTTCAACGATTTGAGTTCATCTAATAAAAGATATCGGAGTGACCCAAAGAACCCTGTCTGCTTATCTCCTTAGACCAACATGGCTACAACCTACACCCCTGAAATATGAATTGAAGTGCAAATGCAATAAGTCCTAGGCCTTTAATGCCAGACGGCTGCAAATGAGAGAGCAACAGTGGGGTCAGAAAAAAAGCCCTGGTCCTACCCAATTCATTTTCCCTTTCCGCATCCACTCTGTCACCCTGTAACACAGGACACTGGGAAGGGAGCCTGACGCAACGGACAGCAAGTCTTACGTGCTCTGTTCTTATGTCCAGCAGCTACAGAGCACCAGAGGCAATGGATGCACCGCTGCTGCCTGTTCATACATGACAGAAGTAATGGTGTCTAGCGGAGGAATGCCAGGTACAGAAGGCTATAGCTAGAGGCGGAGCACTACGTACATAGCAGGGGGCAGTGCCACAAACACCCACCACCTCCACTTGCAAGATGCTGGCCGGCCAAAGGCAGGTGGTGAGGGAGACACAAAGGGTCCCATCCTTGCTGTGGCAGCACAGCCCCAGCCCCCAGAAGCAAAATGCCTTTGCGGGCCCCTGTGGCAAGGACTGCCTGCCCCTGGGTACAGGGTACCAGGTAGAAGCGTGCTCGGGGCACCCTGGGGTGCAGGCAGCGGTGGAGCTGACCCCCGGTCCCCAACGGGCTGCGGCAGGCCCAGAGCAGGGACTCGGCCCCCCCGCCCGCCGGAGGGAAGCAGGGACCCCGGCCCGGCCGTACCCGGGAAGTCGTCCTCGTCGTCGGCGCTCTCGGAGTCGGTCTGCATGGGCTCCTCGGCGAAATTGACGCCGCGGGCGGCGGCGGCGGCGGCGGCGGCGG